TACAAAAACCCTAACATCTAAAAATCCAACAAACCCTATTTAATGAAATTGATTGAAAATCTCAATCAAAACACTAAATATAGTATTTTATTAAAATAATAAAATTTTCTGGAATTTCAATCGAAATAACACTCATTCCAATCAAAATAACCCTAACATTCAATTTTAAAGCTCCAACGGTCAATTGCAAGCCCATATTCCAACTCCACAAAAATTAATCATCAAAACTCCATGTTATAAAATTAACATCAAATTTGAAAATAATGAAGTCAACATCACAAACTAGGATGTAGGTACAACTTTAAAGGTAGGATTACAACTCTTTTGGATGAGGGTACACCTTCAATGGATAGGGGTACAACTCTATTGGATCTGGTACAACGATTACAATTTTTTTGGATGTGCGTACAACTTTTTTGGATCTGGTACAACTCGTGGTACAATTTTAATGGAGGGTTACTACTTTTCTTGGGTTATAACTTTTGTAGATTTGGTTTCAAAATTTTTGGTTGGTAACAACTTTAATGGTATGATTATAACTTTTTGGGGGTGGGGGTACAACTTTAATGATGGGATACAACTTTTCTGGGATTCTACCTTTTATGGTAAGACAACAACTATTTTCGATGTTGTATAAGTTTAATGGTGGGTTACAACTTTTTTGGAGTTATAACTTTCATGGATTTGATTTCAATTTTTTTGGTATGTTACAATTTTGTGTGGTAGATTACAATATTTTTTAGGGGTACAAGTTTTGGGATGAGATACAACTTTTTGGGCTAGTTACCTCTTTTTGGTAACAACTTTTATGGTTCACTATATACCGGTGAAACCGGTTTTAAAGAGCCGCGTGTAAAACACATAGGCCAACTTACTTTTCGGTATGGTACCAAAAAGCAAGTTAGCGGTATAGTAGTGTTCTCCTAATCTGGTCGAAGATAATGGAATCCCTCTGGGTGGCCTTAGAAATTCAAAGTTTGTGGTCATGATATAAGACTGATAGTACATGGTCCAACATGTAGTTCCATCGCATTTAATGGATAGGTTAATAGTACTTTTGATTCATAAAATATATATTTTTTGTATGTTCACAGCTCACTACATAATCCAAATCAATCAAAAAACTAAAATTCACAGTTCGCAATCATATATAAATTCAAACAAAACATATAACCATCAAAATCATATATAATAATAATCACATGAAGCCATGAAGCCACTAATCATATCTCCAAAAAGATGTATGTTAAAAGCAAAGAAATTTTCAAAACTCTCTGTAGCACCCAAAAAATTGCCTAAAGTCTAAACCCAATTACATGCATAAACTTCTTTCATATGCCAAGAACAAATGTTAAATCAAGTACCTTAAAGGGATAACACAAAATTCCTCGTAGTTAACATAGCAGTTTCACCCTCTACACAATTTTTTGTATCCAATTTCGTGTGGCTACAAAATTGAACAATCACAAATAATTAAACAATCCCAAAAAAAGTAACAAAAACAAAAAAATCCAAACTAAAATCCAATTGAATTGGTATAAACCTCAAATTCAATTGCGAGTTTGAAGAAAACCAAGCAATGTAACATCAAATAAAATCAAATCAGAACTCAAATCAAAATATCTTAATTTTAATCTCCTCCACTCAACGATCAAGCATATGCCTTTTATCCCAATTATTTTCATCAATACAACTTTCATTGCAATTTTTGTCCTGAAATTATCACTATTCATCATATCTAGCAAAGTAAACACAAAAATAATAGCATTTTATAAGAAATTGAATGCACTCTTAGAAGAAGAGAGCATTACCATAGTACATATATAAAGAAGGCTCACTCTTGCACCATTAATAAATTGTCTTGATGTCTTTCATCTTAGTGAGTCATGTAGGCCTATGTAATAGTCCAACATTATACAAAAACTCACACTTAGTTTAAGATTATTGTTTGTTGAACCCGAATTAAGCCCAAATTGAGTAACTCGATTTCAACCTGCTTGAAATCAAATCGAGCAATACTCGAGTTGAGGTAGGGTTAGGATTATGGTTAGAGTTGAAGATTTTATATCTCGGATTGAGCTAAGGTTAATCTCTCAACTCACACCAACCTGCCCAAGTTACATCCCTACTCAATTTTTAGTGGTGGTTCACTAGTTGAGCATGATCTTTGATAACCTAGAGATCCCAACCAAGGTGCACCGAAAGCACACATTTTTAGTGTTTGTTCACTAGTTGAGTATGATCTTTGATAACCTAGAGGTCCCAAGTTCAAATCCATCCTTAGGGACATACTCTAATCCAACTCCAGTCATGGTGGTCAATCGCTGAGTTCGAGAGAATAGTCGACACAAGTCTAAACACTCTGTAATAAAAAAAAAAAAAAAACTAAAGTTCCCTCTTACATTTCACAAGAGATTACAAAGGTCAAAAGTAAACATTTTAAATGAGTGGAAAAGCACACATTTGCTTTTAGCCTTAGGAATTAGAATTAATAGAACAGTAATGCTACGTTGACCAAATTTTAAATAAGTGAGAAAGTAGACATTCTGCTTTAGCCCAGGGAATACTTGCATTTGGTTTTGGTCTGTGGAACTCCAGGTCGACGAATTAATCAAATTTCAAATTCTTTAGAACTAAGGAGCAAAAATTAGTAATATCATCCATTTTTCAATGGTTGTGCGGTTAGGATATGCAGTTAATTTCATAAATTATTTATAATTAACACCAATTCCAACAAAGTAACCATATCACCTAATATGAGAAAATTCATAGAAAAGTTACAAAATACCCAAGAATATCAAACCAATACAAAACATCCAAAAATATCAAACCAATACCAAACACCCAAAATATCAAACGAATGTGTTGTGTGTGCTTCTATGTGTTTGTGTGTCTGTTGTTGTTGCTACTGCTTTGTGTGTATAGGTGGGTGGGTGGGTGGGTGAGTGCGATGTATGTGTGGGTGTGTATCTATATGTGCAATGTATGTGTGTGTGTGGGTTTCTGTATGTACGATTGTGTGTGCCTTTGATTTCAATGAGATTTTCGGGGATTTCGGTCTAGTTTTAGGGGGGTTTTGGTGGAGTTTCAGTGGGAGCACAAATAAAGAGCGAGAGAGAGAGAGAGAAATATGGGAGCCAATTAGAGAAATCATACCTGGAGTTGCGGCAGTGGCGATGTGGCGGTGGTGATGACGCTTTGGAGCCCTTTTTTGAAAGACAGAGAATGAGAGTGAGTGAGATAGGGGAGAGGGAGGGGAAGGAGAGAGTAGTACTTGAGCGGGGTAACTTGTAGGAGAAGCTCTATGAAAAATATTAAAAAAAAAATACTTTGGAAAAAAAAAAAATAATAGACGAGCATCTGACTCAAATTTTGAAGGATAAAGTCAAGAGCAATAAATTTAGCAAGTAAATCCAAATTATTTTTATCCACAAGCATATCTTTGAGACCCTCTATTTTCTAATTATTTTTACGCATTAAAATTCAACTGATTAAAATTTGATTCAAGCTAATTAAAATTTATTTGTTTACATGTTAAATTTTGAGCCGATTAAAAATTAAATTTTTATTAAAATTTGGGGTAATTAAAATTTTATTTGATCCAATTAAAAATTATTTTTAATCGACTCATATCAAATTTTAATCGGCTTGCATTGAATTTTAATTAGTCCACATTAGATAGTTTAACGGATCATATACAATTTATCGTTGGTTATATTAGATGGCCTAAATTCAACTTTTCTATTTATCAGATCATTTTTAAACTTTTTTTTTTCTTGTTGCCGAAAATTTTTATATCAGTGACCATATCTTTTCTTTCTTTTTTTTTGGTAAAACCATATCTTTGCTTTAGACAGTAACACATAAAACATTTTATTTTATTTTATTATTTAAATTTATAATTAAGAACTACAAATAAATTAAATCAAAACTAATATTTAAAAACCATTTTTGTTATGCTAATAAAAAATTATTTTTTGACACGAGATTTTTTTTTTTAATTCAACTGTCAAGAATAATCGAGTCAACTCCAAACCATTATACCCTGTTATTGCTTCAACTTCAAATTCCAACCCTGCACCTCTTGTCCTATCCTTCTTTGTCTTCAGCCACAAAACATAAACTATAATCAACCGGAACCTTGGTGGCCGAAAAATTATACAAAAATACCAACAGCCTCCCAACCAAAAATGCAGCTCAGTGCATGGAAGCTTCTGTCAATGCAGGACAAATGTATGCAGCCTTTCTCCGTGCGCAAGAAGACTGAATCTATTATGACTCGAACTGTGATACCCAATTAACAAATGGAATAACCTTATCACTATCTACACGACTATGCAATTTATGAAATTCAGAGTTATATATTAATTGTCCTAAACATTTTCCTCATCATGCATTGCCAACTTGTCCCGATGGTATACAGTCAAGGGGAAATAGTAAAGCAGTATAGCATAATCGATGAGAACATCAACTTGGACACATTGAGTACAGGAAAATAAAAGAAAACAAATTTTCTTTACCTAAAGAAAGGTAGAACGCTCCATTTTGCCATTCTCGGTAAAGAATACCACCAATGAGATTTTATCATTGAAGTACCACAGGCTGTTCATTATTTTTTAAGGCAACCTGTAGAAGTGTGCTTGGGGGGACCAGAGGAAATATTTTGCAATTGTGGGACCTGTTTAACAACATGCTGTAAAATATTTGACCATCTCTTCGTATCAGCTGTGCACTGATTTGTAAACCTTGACCAGTTGCTGCTGTTAACAAAATAGGCAGAGGGGGCTGCAATCAAATTCGGAACTCTTAGTGCCAATCATACTGTTTGTTTCTGCCAATATCAAGAATTGGAAAACTCCCAAACAATTTTAGACAAATCACAACAATCTCTAATATCAGTAACGTGGCTTCCATTATACATACCCAGCAGGGGCTGCAGATTGATCAACAGTAACAAGAACATTATTGCTATTGCTATTACTATCCAGGCCTAGATCAAGCTAATAGGGCACAGGTGCAGGTGCAGCCCGTTGCCTGGCTTCAGCGTAATAGGAATTACTTTCAGTAGCTGGTGATGATACACCACTCTCAGCTGCATGACCTGGTGTATCAGAATACCCTCTTTCACTTCCATCAGGATATTCTACTTCTTCAGTTCTCTGGGTTGTCTTCACACGGATTACAAATGCCTCTGGAGGCTTGCGATAGACTGAGGACAAAGTCCCAATGTTGGCAAGAAGCTCATCAAGGACAGAAGGATCAAGTTGTTCAAATCATCACTGATTACAGGCTTTTCAGCTAACACAACATCCTTAGCTGCCTGAGAGAGAGTAGGCAAGCCATCATACTTGAACAACCAATAATGCAGGAGTCCATAATAACCTAAAGATATAAGCTGCGTAAATAAATAACACAATCCTCTTTTCTCCACCGATAAAAGTGGCTTTGTCGTAGAAAAAATCTCTTGAAATGAGGAAAAGTGAAATAGGATTCAGTGACTCCATGCCTTCCGCGAAAAAAAAAAAAACATGATACAAGTTTTAATCATTTCTTTGAGAAGATGGATCCACAATGTTTGCCTAGTATGACATAGGTCCAAGAACTGCAATAACACCATGGGTGGCACACCTCAGTAAGTACTTCAATGTCAAAGGAAAACATGACAATCATATGGAGTATCAAAGCAACAGAAATAGAAATTGCAAGAATTCAGCTAATACACACCTCAGGATCAATGGAAAGAAGATGCCAATATATGTATGCACGATCTCGCAAATCTGGATTGTCCATCTCCACAGTGACATTGTTCAACACAACCTATACAGATGAAGATATAGGGAGAGAATCAACTTAAAAAATTAAAAATAACGCAGTTTGGCATTTTAGAAGACAGACCCACTTGAAGTTTGGGGCAACAATACAGCTATCAAAATCAAGGGAAGCACTTGAAAATCCCTATGAAAATTTAAAAGAGAATATATTTAGCAGAATAGACTGTGATTGTCACTACTCGCTACATACAGCATATATGCAACATCTTATTGCAACATATCAGGGTGACAGGTGCCCCATCAAGCTGTGATCATAGATTTCGGATATATTCCATTAAGGGTTTACTTTCTCAAGAAAGCAGGCATGCAGAATCTACCCATCGGGATTTAATCCAATCTAGATTACAGAAGCCAACAACAATCATAAATTAAAGAAGTTGTAACCCCTACCCAAAAAAGTTGTTACCTCTACCCAAAAAATTGTAATCCCTACCTAAAAAAGTTGTAACCCCTACCAAAAAAGTTGCAATGGGTAACAAAAAAATAATAACACATTAATACACGATTTTTAACCCACACAAACAAATTGTAATCCAATCTAGTTGTATGTCTGCACAAATTGTTGGAACATAATCCATAAAATTTGGAATTCCAAATGTGCGAACAAGCTTCAACAATAGTTATGAAGAGTGTCATATTTCCTCCATTTAACACTTATATGTATAAAATAAAAAAGTATGAAAAAACCTCCAACTTCCACAAATTAGTATAGCTTACCACAATGACTGAATTAATTAGTTCTTCATTTATGAACGAATTACTGCCTTATATACTGTTGCATCTCTCTTAATGTTATTGTTGTGTGTGACCAATTTCAGGCCTAATTCCCTTCGCATTTCTGTCATAGGTTCCTACAAGAGCATTTGCAAAACAACATTAATTCCACTCAACCACGCAAAATACAATCCTATCTTGAAGTTAATAGTAACATTGTAATATCATGTATGCAATAAATTAACACCTTGATAGGGAAATCTGGACCCAACTCCAGCTCTTGGATTATCAATATAACATACATACCGCAATCATAGCCATTCTTCTGTACGGGGACACCCAATTTGGCCGAATAATCGGTCATTCATGCATTTCTTCCACATTGGTGGTCACCTCACGTATTAGATGACATAACACTATCACCTATTTAAGGAAACAAATATATTATTTTAATATGTGAGATGACAAGTACTTCATTACACAAGCCCTAAATAATTTAGGTTGTACAAATGTTACTGTTTTCTTTGCCTGCTGAACTCGTCTTAGATTCCTTTGAGCAGTAGGCAAAGTATCGAGAAGCATGATTTCTTTTTTTAGGATATCTACTACGGTGAGGTACCAATGGCAATTTGCATCATTTATGCGTAAATATATATACAACAACACGAATATAATACAATGATAAATGAGCACACACATATATGTGCACCATAATTAATGAGAAGGACCTATATAAACTAAAATGAGAATGTCAAACCTTATCGCAATTTTTAATGTCACCAATGAAACGAGAAAAAGTTTGCCTAATAACGGAATTTAAGACATTTTTTCCTTTATTCTTCATCGCAATTGCTGCTTGCTGCCAAAATCATTCATTAAGTATACACGATTAACAAACATATATCATGAGTATCACACAACCCAACAATGAGGAGTATGGATACTTTACCGAAAACATTGTTGGGAAGTACCATCTGGCATTTTGGTTAGTGCGGTTGATCTTGGTATCGGGTGACATAACACAATGAACCATATTTATCACTTGTTAATTAGGAAAAAAAATAAAATATTGAGTATTGTATATTACTTTGGCAGAATAATTGATGGTAATAATGCATCCAAAAGCAATCCAGTTACATCATCAGCTATCCACTCCGTTCCATATAAGGACTACATTGACTTCCGAGTCGCCATAAAAATGGTGTCTTCAAAATCTACAAGAACCTCTCTGCATCTATTGAAATGGTACCAATTTGTCAATGCAGCGTACCAATTATGCTGAAAGAATAATGTTTGATAAATTATGGATTCACTTACGATTTTTCTAAGGAATTGTCAAGTATGTACTCCCATATTGACTCCTCGTGGCTTCGGAGGACTCTTGTTATGTGAGGGTACCCCCCCTCTGGCATATCAATATCATCTTCATCCTGCAATGTTATGAACACAATTATCCAATATTACCAGTTAAGGCATTCAGTATTCTAATATCCAAACAATTAAAAAAATATATCATGATTCACGTACGTTGCCGTCACCATCACCTTCATCATCATCAACATTTTTTATATTCAAATCCTCATCACCTCTTTCATTCTTATTCAATTCCTCAACACCTTCTGATTTGTTATCTATGGCGTTGACTCGGTTGGATAAATTCCTTAATAAGTCCTTTATAGTCGAAAGCTTGACATCAACCTTGAGAGACAAATCCTGAAAACCTAATTTCATTGTAGTCTGTGTCACCTCTAATTTGGACAATCTTGAATCAAATCCTGAACAAAAAAAATGAACAATATGTGAACAAATGAACAATCTACATTGGGTGTTGCGTAAAACATATGGTAGCAATGGTAAGGTGTTGAGTAATAAACATACATCTGCTTCTACATTGACGCATGCATTAGTTGATAGCGGATGCTGACACACATCATTAACGGTCACCTTAATCTACATCAACCATACAATATACATTTGAAAACAATGTTAGATCTCATTAATATACTAAATAATCCATGATGTGTGTTGTAATGATATGATACAAATGACTTACCTTGTCATTTTTATATCCACCAAACTCCTTTAGCCGCACAAGGCACGCACCTATTTTTATGTCATCCCATTCTCCAATGCGGGGGCATGGTCGTGATGCCAAATCAACCAGATTCTCCCCTATAGGTGTGACGCGTTCAAACAAGAAAATCTAGTTAGAAGACAACAAATAACTAATTATGGGTAAGTAAAACCAAAATTAGAATGAAATAATCAATGAGTATAATACGTCACCATGAGGAGAATAATGCAACGCCTGATACTGTTGCAGGGAGCCATCTTGTAGTCATGTACCGCCTGAATCATGTAGTTAAATACAAACTTTGCTCAGTTCTTACACTTCAAAGATGTCAAGTCTTCAACAATGGGAAGAAAGTGCTTACTAATTTTAATTTTCATCGATGGGCACAGGAAAACTTCAATAATATACAACACAAGTATCGCCGAAATTGTTGAAAATCTTCTTTCATTTTCTTTATTTTGTTCTCTCTATCAATCGTTGACAAGAGAACTTTTCCTTCAAAAGTTTTCTTCGTAAAATCAGTTATTCTCGATGTAGAACTGTTGGTTTCCAAATCATCCCCTCCACAATGCAACCCCACAATGTACTCCACATCTTCAGGACAAAATTTTATGGATTTGTTGAATACGTTCAACAAGCAAGTATTTGGATCAAATTATTCAAGTAACCACTAGCAAAGCCCCCTCTTAAGATTGTGGATTTTCAAACTTAACAAGCCCCCCAATCCAATTTCTGCCACCCCGCGTTTCTGTTTAGCCGTTAATGTTTCAATTAAGGTTATTACCTTTTGGGGTGAGTATCAGGTTCCAAGTATATTCTACAAAAGTGTGCAACAGTATGACAATTAAATACTAAAATTGTTGAATGTAATGCTTAAAAGAAATGTGAGTTTGCTATTAACTTTTTTAACTGAAGTACTAGAGGTTGCACTCCTTGGCGATGAAATCCTTTTGCATGTTTGATGCTCCACTTGATGTCCAGCTTCAATTTGCCTCTTCTTTGTCCTGTTCAATGCACTATGTTGTTAACCTAATACAACAAAATCTGAGTATCCCCAAAATTTCAACAAGAAGTACTTACATTGTTGTAATTGTATGCGACAAAAAAATAGCCTGCCAAATTTACCTTTCTCATGGTTAGTAAACAATACACATAACAAAAACATAATGCAATCATTTACTTAGTAACTTATCGACATATCTAATAAGTAAGAAGTCATAAACAATAAAATTAGACCATAAGCAGCCATAAGAAATCTGCTCTTAATCAAACATAAGCAGGCATAATGGTTGTAACCTAATCCACACAGGTTAGAAACTAATCCACAAAGCTTGTAACACAATCTAAACCATATCAAATTCCACCAAAAAGTTGTAACCCACCACTCCGAAAATAATCAACCACTTAGAAAACTTGTAACCAACCACCCAGACAACTTGTAACCCACGAAAAGTATTTGTAAGTTAGGACATATAAAATTAAAGAATTTTGGGTCTTCAAGTAATATCTAAATAGAGAGAGGGGGATGTATATTTACCCGTTGTGTGTTGTGTCTCACTTGAGGAATTAACGGGCAGATAAAGAGGGGTGAAGCGACCAAGTCTTCAATTTGCTCGTTGATTTAGGTCGAGTCTTCATGGTAGATGTGGTAGATGTTGTAGACGATGTCCCAAATCCATCCATCCATACAAAAACAACCAAAGCGTCATTAGTTGAAGTTCAGTAAATCAAATGTGTAATTTATTATATATGGAAAAAAAAGATAAATGGGTTACGAAAAACAACCCTAATCATTGACCAAAAATTCAAAGAGAACACAAAATCAGAAAATATAACACACATATTTTGGAAAGAGAGAGATGGGTTTTCGGTGGGGTTTCAATGGGAGCCGAGACAGAGAGATGAGTTTTCGTTGGGGTTTCAATGAGAGCCGAGACAAAGAGATGGGTTTTTGTTAGGGTTTCAATGGGAGCCGATAGAGAGAGGAGATGGGAAATACATACACACACATATAGCGACAGACTTCCATACCTGGTAATGAATTCTTTGAAGAATGGGTAGAGGGAGACAGATCGAAGGAAGACACGGAGATAGGTAGAGGGAGACAGATCGAAGGAGGAAAGGGAGAGGAGGAAGGAAATTTGTGTGTGAAAGCGGAAGGGGCCAGAGAAATTGGGTCTTTTGGGGGTGTATGTGTCAATTGATTTTTTTTCACTTTACACCCTAAAATATAAATATTTTCATATTGCAACTTAAGATTAAAATATGTTGTACGCAATTCTTTAGATTACTAATACTTTTGTGTAATTGATAGTATTATAAGAATTATAATTTTTGACGAAATATAATAAGAATACAAAAACATTTGGGATACAAACTGTTTTTATTAACAAAAAATGGGGGGGAATATGTTTCCGCCTAAAACATAGTTGAATTTTTTGAAAAAAATTCAGTTTCTTCCATCATATCCCACATTTAGGGATCCACTATTACTAAAGGTTAAAGCAACCCAAAAAATTGAAACCTCACCCTACAAAATTGTAACCAAATCCATAAAAGTTGGACCTAACCCAAATATTATAACCAAATCCATACAAAAGTAGTAACCTTTTGGAACACCATCCTCAACAGTTGGAACCCTCCCAAAATAGTTCCTTTTTGAAGTGGCTTCCAACATTTATGAATTAGTGTTATAATATTTTGGGGTAAATTATTTTGGTGACGTTTCAACTTTGTTAGATAGGGTTATAACTTTTTGGGTGGGTTCAAAGTGGATTTACCAATGCTTAATAAAGTCAGTCCAAAAAAGTTGAAACTCCAACCCAAAATATTGTAACACAACCCAATAAAGTAGTAAATCATCCCCAAAAGGTTGTAATACACGCAACAACCACAATCTATCCCATTTCTTTCCAAAATCACATCACATAATAAATGCAAGCTAATTAAATTTGTCAGTCAAAATATAGTTGGTAATTATGAAATAAATGATATTAATGTCTTCCACCTAACGTGGTTATGTTGGCTGAACATTCTTCATCCCCCTACAATGTCACTCTTTATTCCTTCATCCTCCGAACAATTTCACTCTTTATTCCTTCATCCTCCATACAATTTAATTGGAATGTTTACAACCCCCATTCCATCATCATCCATCCAATTACGTGGGCGAGGTAACTATTATGTGTTTGATGTTAACTGCATAATTTTCTTTATGAATGTTTTCTAATTTTGATAGGCAATATGGGAAAGGAGAGCACTACATAAACTAATATTGTCATAACATTAGGTTTTTTTTTTTTTTGCATTATGTACAAAATTTCTACAATTTGACAAACATTTGACATATAACATGCATCTATTGTTAATTATTTTTCTGTAGGTATAATCAACACAAATGTCTTCGACTTATTTACAAAAAGGAAAACACTCTATTATAGACCTAAATGAAGATGTAACGGAGGACATGTTACATGATGTTGAAAATTATGAAAATGAGAACATGAAAAAAAAATGATGGATGAGTTAAAATATGAAGAAGTTTTTGAAATGACGTTTGATTCATATGAGGAGGCTGGAGAATTTTATAATACATATGGAAGATATGCGGGGTTTAGCATTCGAAAAGATGACCTAAAGTCTGATAAGAACCACATGGAAATTTCAAGAAGGTGGGCTTGTTCAAGAGAAGGGTCTCGGTCCACAAAGAATGCGGACCACGACGAACGAGTAAGGGAACCACGAGGTTTAACAAGGGTTGGATGCCTTGCAAATTTGCGTGTGAAGTATGATAGGAAGACAGGAAAATGGGTTGTAAAGGATTTTGTTAAGGAGCATAACCATCCATTGGTTCCACCAAGTAGCGTGCCATTTCTCCGATCACATAGGGGTGTTAAGAGTCCTGATAGAGCACAAGCTACATCATCCAGTAATGTTGGTATACAAACAAGTCAGATTAGAGATTTTATGTTGCAACAATCAGGAGGATATCAAAATATTGGATTTACCACAAAGAATTTGTACAATGATGTAGCGTCCCAACGTCGAGAAGAAATGAGGGATGGTGATGCCGAGAGCGCATTGACATACTTGAACGCCAAGGAAGAGTTGGACCCGCTATTCTATTTCAAGTATAACGTCACTAAAGACAATTCGATACATTGTTTGTTTTGGACGGATTCGACTTCCCGAATAGACTACAAGTGTTTTGGTGACGTACTAACGTTTGATACTACATATCGAACAAATGTTTATAAGAAGCCATTTGTGATATTTGCAGGTGTCAATCACCAAATTGCTATAAGTATGTTTGGTTGTGCATTGCTTTCAGATGAGATTGTGGAAACATATGTGTGGGTGATATCTACTTTTCTTCATGCAATGGATAATAAGATGCCGATCTCCGTTATTACAAATGGGGATAAAGCAATGGTTGCTGCAATAGAAATAATATTTCCACAAGCAACACACCGCTTATGTAGGTGGCATTTGGCCCGAAATGCTTTCACAAATATAAATTCCGAAAATTTTGTCCAAGCATTCAAGAGATGTATGTGCACACGATGTACACCGGAAGAATTTGAAGATTTATGGAAATCAATGGTTGAATCATTTAGCCTAGAGTCTAATAATTGAATTGCTGAAGTTTATGTAAAGAGATTCAAATGGGCCGAAGTATACTTATGGGGGATATATTTTGCGGGACAAACAAGTACGCAACGGTCTGAAAGTTTGAATGCATACCTAAATCGCTTCCGAAAAATATGTCAAAGACTGTTTGAGTTTGTTAGGCAGTATGATAGGGGCTTGGCAAGAATCAGAGAGGCCGAGGCCAATAAGGATTACGAGTCAGAACACTCCGAGCCAGTGCTCACAACAGCACTTAAATGCTTAGAGGAGAAAGCTTCCAAGATATATACTAGAAAAATGTTCTTCAAAGTTTGTGATTAATTGAAGATGAAGCTCTATTTTGTGTAGTGGATAAAATTGAGAGCATAACACATCAGAGTTACTACTTGTCCCGATTCGCACAACCTGAATCTAGGTAGATTGTTCAATATTATCCTAACATTCATATGTTTAAATGTAATTGCATGAAATTTGAATCTATTGGAATTCCCTGCTCTCATACGATTGCCATCATGAAGTGTGAGCACCTCAAAGAGTTTCCTCCTACCATTGTGATGAAAAGGTGGACAATTACTGTAAAATTCGATTATCAAACAAATGATGTGTTGCATACATTGAGTTTCCCATCAATTTCTAGAAGATATGTTGGACTCATGTCTATGTGCAGTAGAATGTGCTACTATGCTTCACAGTCAATGTCAAAATCAAACGACGTGAGAAATATGATGCATTAGCAAACGTTTGCTCTACAAGCCCATCACGAGTCAACAGCTAGAGGTTATGATGAGTCTCAAATATCCTATTTCAACATGAATGTGAAAAATGGCAAATTTGGCCTGGATGACCCAAAATTTGTGAAGACTAAGGGAAATCCAGGACTTGTGCGAAAGAACATTTCAATTACCCCACGAAGGTGCAGTAAATGTAGGAGTATCGGAGATACTGTTAGAAAATGTCCACTACTTACGCCCCATTTGAATGATCCATATGAGAACATGCCGTTTTCACATTTGGATGAATCGCACCAACCACACAATCTCCATTATATTCCTCATGCATCACAAGAACCAGTGCTCAAGATTCCATCTCACAGCCTGGTGGATCACAACAACCCTTGCCAACATATGAAGATGAAGACCATTAGACTCCTTTTTGAATGGCAAAAGTATGTCCCTACTCAACATGTTCTGTGCATCAACATGCTTCAAGAAACCAACTGTATTATGCATTCCTAGCATTTCAAGCATCAAGAAACCGATTGTATTGTGCATTCCTAGCATTTCAACATGTATCAAGAAACCAACTGTATTGTGTATTCCTAGGATTATATTACAAACATAGCATCGCCAAATATCATGACATACACTTTGAAATTACATAGAATCAGCAAAATACCATGAAATCCACTTTGCATTTACATACCATCAACAAAATACCATAACATGCACTTTCAATTTACATACCATCAACAAAATTACATAGTAAAATTTACAATTGAACAACTAAATGTTTTCTACAATCCAACAACTAAAAAAGAGTAATACTCATTTTTGCTTTGAGTTAACAATTGATTCTCCAACTATTTCAGAGACTCTTTGGTGTCTTCCCGAAGCTACCTGAGAGACTCCTTGGTGTCGTCACGGAGCTGCTTGAGAGACTTTTTTGTGTCTTCACATATTTGCTCGAGAGACTCCTTCATTTCTTGCTGCAACTCCTCTTGATTTACCAAAATCTGTTTAAGCATTTGTACAATATCCCCTGAAGTACTTGCCCCGGTATCATAATCATCTGGATTATATGAATTGGTTTGCCCCCAAACTCTTTTTTAATGTGCATTCAGCAAATGGACTGATAGGGGACTTATAAGTGTCGGTTGGGTGAATGACAACTCCATAATGCATCATGATCTTTGAAATTAAGATGGGGAATGGGAGACTTTTTAGCTTATCTTCAAGGTCAAACACCGAAACAATTTCATTAAATATTAGACAAGGGAGATCTATACTTATCCCCTTCCCAATGACATAGAGTAGATGAGCTCTGTCAAGTCCAAAATTAGCACTGTGTCCTCTCGGATTAATATTACATCCCACTATACGATTAAAACCCTATAATTGTTAGTGAGATATTTTTGATAAAATGTGTCTATGTTCAGATTAAAAGGTATACCATAAAGTTCTGTTGCAACATCCTCGAGGGTAGGTTGATCACCAAGATTCTTGAATGGGTATGTCACAATATTTTCAACAATAAAGGGTGAGGGAACATTCAATATCTTTGAAATCAAATCCAGGTTCACTTCAAAATGTACATTCCTCATATAAGATTTAAACTTCAATTCTTCCTTCTCAACATCATGCATATTTGCATAAAATATCCTCACTAATCCATCATAAGCTCTATCGTTCATATCTATTTCAACTATAGAATTCCAATGTCGCAAACCAAAAATAACAGCACAGTCCAAATTTGTCATCTTATCCAACTGAGCACCACGCTCTAGTAACACAGGCCTATGACAAAACCTATTATGATAAACCTCTTCACTAATTCTGTTGAAGAAATTTTTTACTGGAATGGATGAACTTACCAAATTTGGAAGAGAGGAAGAGTGATCAACATTTTTATTTTGTTTTGGATGAGATGGATCAACTGACTTCGGACAACTGGAGGAATGGACCATAATTGGAGGTTTTGGACAATTGGAGTGATCACCAACCTGTTTATTCTTCATTTGCCACCTGTATCCACTTTTGGCCAATACTTTCCCTCAGCCTTCCTCTTCTTCTTTATTTCCATCAAAATTTTTGTTGAATTCTCCAAGCTCAAACGTTGTTTTGATACATTACTAGAAAATAGGTACATACCCAATCAAACATAATAAATCTATCATAGGAGAAAATAAATATGGAACAATTGACATCCTCACACACATACACACGCTGACGACACACATTCATATGTTATAGAATACTTACTTGTAGTGAGATTTGAAGCATTTTGGAGTTAGGGTTTGGTAATGATCGATTGGCTGACTTGTTCTTCTTGAAATCAAATGGATTTCTAATGCTTGAAATTGATCACTTGTTCTTCTTTAAATCGATCACTTGTTCTTCTTCAAACAAAGGGATTTCAAATGCTTGAAATCAAAGGCGTGTTGGAGGCTTTTTGGAGTTAGGGTTGGGGCTTTGGAGTTAGGGTTCACTCACTTGTTCTTCTTGAAATCGATCGATTTCGAATGCTTGAAATCGATCTAGGGTTAGGTTCAATGCTTGAGTCGATTTGGCTGAAGGCGTGAATGGTGGAATGATTTGGTTGAGACACACTCGCAGGTCCCTTCCTAATCTGCCTGAGACACGCAGCTCCTACGTATGGAATGGACGATCGACTTCTTCTTTAAGAGTAAGATAAAAGTGCCAAAGTGTAATATGAAAGGGATAAAGTGTAATATGATACACAGGATCGGTCCACCATTCCTAGGTCCACTCTAATTTTAAATTACACTTATACCCCTAAACTATAACAATAATTTTATTTTTTCCTAACCCAACCCAAAATACTATAAACTAACAATCAATTGATTAAATTAACATTCAATTTCATCAAATTCATACCAAATTAACATTTAATTCATCAAATTAACACTAAATCGACATTCAATTCATCCAATTAACACTCAATTTATCAAAATTAATATCCAAAATAATCCAATAAAAATTTAATTTATCAAATCAACCAAAGTAATATGAAAATTAATCAAATAAAAATAACATTACATTTCATCTAATAAACATTCAATTAATAAAATTAACATTTAAATTCAACTATTAACATTAAATTCATCCCATACATATTTATTTGTCAAATTAACACCAAATTTATGTTCAATACCAGATATATATATTCAATTCATACAATTTATATTAATTTGGTGTTAGTTTGGTGAATTGAATGTTAATTATACGAAACGAAATGTTAATTTGGTGTTGATTTGGTGAATTAAATGTTTATTCAATAAATTTCTATATTACATTGGTGTTGGTTTGATAAATTGAATTTTATTAGATGATTTTGGATGTTAATTTGATGAATTGAATGTTAATTGGATGATTTTGAATATAAATTGGATGAATTGAATGTTAGTTTAGTATTAATTTGATGAATTGAATATTTATTTGATGAAATTGAATGTTAAGTTAATTTGATGAATTAATTATTTATTAGATGGGATTGAATGTGAATTTGATGAATTGAATATTAATGTTGTGTTAATTTAATGAATTGAAAGTTAATTTATTGTTAATTTGAAGAATTGAATATTAATTTGGTGTTAATTGGATGAAATTGAATCTTAATTTGATGAATTTAATTTTAAATAGTTAATTTAAATGTTAATTTAATGAATTGAATGTTTATTATTGTTGATTTGATGAATTAAATATTTATTGAATGAATTTTTATATTACATTGGAGTTGGTTTGATAAATTTAATTTTTATTAGATGATTTTGGAGTGTAAATTAGAAGAATTTGAATATATATTGGATAAATTGAATGTTACTTTAGCATTAATTTGAAAAATTAAAATTTTATTGGATGAAATTGAATGTTAGGTTAATTTGATGAATTAAATGTTTATTAGATAGGATTGAATGCGAATTTAATGAATTGAATATTAATTTTTTGTTAATTTGATGAGTTGAATGTTAGTTTAGCGTTAATTTGAAGAATTGAATGTTAATTTGGTGTTAATTTGATAAATTTAATGTTAAATAGTTAATTTAAATGTTAATTTAATGAATTGAAACCTCTACAAAAAAGTTGGAATCCCTAACATATTTTTTTTGGAACGCACCCCAAAAAAAAATTGGAACCTACCAAAAAAGTTCGAACCCTACCGAAAACGTTAGAACCCTTCCCCAATAGTTAAAACTCACCCAAAAGGTTATAATTCAATTCAAAAAATTGAAACCTCAGCCAAAAAATTGAAACCTCTACCCCAATAATTGGAACCTCCAAAAAAGCTGGAACCCTCCCAAGTGTTGGAATCTCTACCCAAAAAAGTTAGAACCCTACCCAAAAAAGTTAGAACTCACCCCAAAAGAGTTGGAACCCTACCAAAAATGTTCAAACCTTACCGAAAAAGTTGGAACCCCTCTCCTAACAGTCAAAACTCACCCAAAAGGTTATAATTCAATTCAAAAAATTGAAACCTCAGCCAAAAAGTTGAAACCGCTACCAAGAGTTAGAACCTCAAAAAAAGTTGTAACCTTCCCTCAAGAGTTGGAACCCTTACCCAAAAAAGTTGGAACCCTTATCCAAAAAAATTAGAACCTCTACCCAAAAAAGTTGGAACTCACCCCAAAAAAGTTGAAACCCCTATCAAAAAGTTGAAACCATATCGAAAAATTTGGAACCCCTTCCCCAACAGTTATAACCCACCCAAAAGATTATAATTCAATTCAAAAAATTGAAACATCAGCTAGAAAGTTGAAACCGCTACCCCAACCTCAAAAAAAGTTGGAACCTTCCCTCAAACCTCTATCCAAAAAAGTTGGAACCCCTACCCAAAAAGTTGGAACCCCTCTCTCAACAGTTAGAACCACCCCAAAAAGTTATAACTCTATCCAAAATAGTTAAAATCTCACCATAAAAGTTGGAACCCTACCCCAACTGTTAGAGCTCATCCTAAAAAGTTATAACTCAATTCAAAAAAGTTGTAACCCTTACCAAAAAGTTTATTTGATGAAATTGAACGTTTATTTGGCTTAAATTTGATGAATTGAATATTAAATGTTATTAGATGACATTGTTAATTTGTTAAATTGAATATTAATTTCGTGTTGATTTGAAGAATTAAATCTTTATTAGATGATTTTTTATTTTAATTTGATGAAGTGAATGTTAATTTATTGAATTAAATATTAATTGGATGAATTGAATTTTAATTTGATGTTAATATGATGAATTGAATGTTTATTTGATATAAATTTGATAAATTGAATATTAAATGTTATTAGATGAAATTGAATGTTAATTTGTTGAATTGAATATTAATTTGGTATTGTTTTGATGAATTAAATGTTTATTGAATGAAATTGTATGCTACTTTGATGTTGATTTGTTAAATTAAACCTTTATTGGAGATTTTCGATGTAATTTGATAAATTGAGTGTTAATTTATGAATTTAAATATAATCTCGAACTCCTACTCTCAGCTCATCAAGCATTCATGGGTGTTTTTTAATGCAGCCATATTATGAGCTAAGTTTTAGGTGACATGCATTAAAGAAGGAGCACGCTTTATAATTTTATTATTTCTTTATTTCTTGTATCATGCATGCATTACTTCTATTATTCTATTTATTTTATTTCGTGTAATTAGGTGTAATTTGATTTTTTAATACCATGCATCGTTCCGTTAAAAAAAATCTTTTTTTTAGGGATTTTCAATGTTAATTTTATGAATTGAATGAATTTGAATATAAATTGGATGAGATTGAACGTTAGGAATTAAATGTTTATTAGTTGAATTTTAATGTTAATTTAATGAATTATATGTTTATTAGATAAAATTAAATGTTGATTTGAAGAATTGAATGTTAATTTGGTGTAAATTTGATGAATTGAGTTTTAATTGGATGAAATTGCATGTTTGATGTTGATTTGATAAATTGAATATTTATTGAATGATTTTAGATGTTAATTTGATGAATTATAATATCAAAAGGTTAAAAGTATAATATTAAAGGATAAAAGTGTAATATCAAAAAGATTAAAGTGTAATATTACACCAGGATCGGTACCCCATTCCCATGATCGGTCTTAATTCATCATTAGGAAATTACACTTACACCCATGAAGTATAACAATATTTTTATTTTGTTCCTTATATTTCACCATCCAGTAATATTTTTATTCCACATTACCTAATTAGAAGCATCTATTATTTTTTTGAAGATAAAATACATAGGGCAAAGTAAAATAATTGCCCCTTAAATATATAACTGATATTAATAATTGGGTTAAAACTGGGGTACAACTTTAATAAATGGTAACAATTTTTTGGATGTGAGTAGAACTATATTGGATATGGTACAATTCTTTTGGATGAGGTAAAACTTTTTTGATTAATTACAACTTTTTTTGTTAGGTACATTTTTTTAGGCTACGTACAACTCAATTAGATGTCTTACAGCTGCTGAAAATAACTGGTTTTACCGATTTTAAAGACTTACGTGTCATGTATATAGGCCAACGTATTTTTCGGTATGATATCGAAAATTAGGTTGACGGTATACTAGTGTTAACCCTAAAAATAAAAAAAGAAAGGCGCAAGTAGTACGATACCCAATCTCGTGTCGACCACATCTAGTCCGGTGCTATTGGGAATTTTTTAAGTCTAATCCTGTCGGCCACATCTAGTCCCCTATCTCTCATCTATCATGTAACGAAATACTATAAAGGAAAGTCAGAGAAGACCAAAAGGTTGATAAGACCCAGGACTGCTCAACAGTATTGCTCAAAAAATTTGTGTCTTAGATCGCTGTTTTTAAACGGGCATCAAATTTTTTATGTATACCTGTTTTTAAACGGGCTTCAAAAAATTTGGGTTTTAGATCTCTACTCAGCACTGAATTGCACACAATATTTGTATGCATGTATATCAACACTGAAAGCGTATTTTTTGAGTACGCTTTTAATTTAATTTTTTTTGGTCATCAAAAGCAAAGTT